GTTCATAACTTAATTTTCTAATGACAACTGTTCAATAAAAAAAAGTTCCTGATGTCAACAATGCAGGTTACACTTACCGTTTTACAGCTGTCTATTATGAAATATTTTCTTATAATTGAATTACGAGGATTTCTAAACACTGTGGCTGCTACATAAACAATAGGCACTTGTACGGAATGTACAAACAACAATCGTAATAACGTAAATGTATTAGAGTTCTTTATATCACGCGCAATATGGCAGGTCCCTGTCGTTAATAACGATGGCGGAGAATAAACGTCAAACCACCTGTCACTGATTTTGTAACTGCCCTATGTACTGACTCACACCCATATGTGAAACTCCAATCTTTAATAAAGTGATAAAACTGTTACAATGACTAAAACAAAAAAATCACTCGTGAATACATATAAATGTTTTTTTATTGGACAACTTTGTTAGACCATAGAAAGGTAGGAAGAGATGGGTATCTGTCTAATTATAATTGACAATAATTTTACAGATACGTACAAGTGTTCACCAATCATTCTTCTAGCTAGTGTATTTAAATCAATTTTAATTACGTGCATATATGTACATTTGGCAATGAAACTTCAAATATATTAATATTACATTAACATTATTTTAAGTGTATATATTATGTGTCTACTTATATTATTGATATGGTACTCCGTACAGTTATTATAAAGTAGTCAACAAATCACCCAAAAAGTGTATACACATCTATATCTTCCAGAAACTTTGTATAATAGTTTTCAATTTTATACTTATTTGAAACAATACTTTATATATAGTTTGTACGTAGCATATATGTACATGCATAGAATTATGATGAAGGATTTTAATAAATCATGATTTCTTAGTATTTAAGATATAAAAATTGCATTAATGGTCTAAATTAAAATTATACATGATTGTGTGTACACATACATAAGTGTACATACAATTTATATGCATTGTACGTATTCCCCTTATAGCATCGCGTGGCTTGGGGAACACAATGTGACAATCAGAATCAGTTAATAGTTGATATTACTTCTTTAACCTATTTTTGATTGGTTACTGACTCGTGGCAGGAAATGAAAAAGGAAACAGTATACATATAAGGCTACGCGGCAGTACACATAGAAATACTGTCTTAAATTAAAAGGATTAATTACGCCATAATTAGTGTTTTTAGGCGATCCTGCATTGTGCATACGTGGGCAATTGTGACGCCTCTTGTGTAGAAAAGATGAAACTTCGTTCGGGGTTCGTACAGCGCCAATTTGTTTTGGCTAACAGTTGAACGTTTTGCCACTTACTTTACAGATTTCACCGCAAGTGACACCACTGTTTGGCTAATAGTTTGAGTGTTTTGCCACTTACTAATTGGCGCTGTACGAACCCTGAACGAAGCTTCAGTTTTTCTCCGTAAGTGGCGCCATTGTCATCCGTGTATGCAAAATGAAGGGTCGCCAAAAAATACAAATTATGGCAAAATTAGAACATAAAATATTAAACCAAGGGCATAGATTTATTCAGGAGAATCTGCTGCATCGATATTGTGTGACAAAAGCTGATAATAACAACGCAAAATATAATTAATTAATATAATAGTTAGTCAAACTTCAAAGTGTAATTAATTATGTTTCGTAATGTTGTCATTTTCTTTTTGTATGCAGTATTGACACAATAGATCTTCCTGTATAATTCTGTTCCGTTGGTTTAATTTTTTATATCCTAATTTTACCATAATGAATGTTTTTCTGCCATGGGGGACGG